TCTCTAGGCGCGGCTTCAGGTTTAGGGATCACTGCCCAGGTCTGTGTCACCTTGATTCAGAGTTTAAGTCTGTGTTTTCTGACTCTCACACTCCTCCACCACCCAGCCCTCCCGGGAGGAGGCTTTACTGAGGATCTGGGGGAGCAGAGGGGTTCACAGCAGAGATATGCACGTTCTCCTTTGCTACCAGACACCCCTGTGCTGAGCCCATTCCCTGGGGTTTTCACAGTTTGGGGCTCAGTCAATCCCCCAACCCGTGTCTCTGGCCCCCCTCTTTATTTTTCCTTTCCTCACTTTTCTAGATACCCACCCCTCACCGAATACCCGGCCACTTCACTAACTGAGCAATTTAGTTAGTTCTTTAAAATCCCCCCTTTATTCTATTTATTTGTGCCTCTCTACCCCATAACCTCACAGTCTAACCTTGCAGTCCTAAGTGTGTGTGTGTGTGTGTGTGTGTGTTTAATGTAGTTATTCTTTTAAAAGGAATTCTGGTGCCAGCTGGTAAAACACTATTTTACTATGTGCCCTGCTGCATTAATAACATACAAATTATCATGGGTGCTTTCCTGTGTTCTGAGTGCCCAGGACACATCCACCTTACCTCGCGGCCATCCTCTGAGGTTGATAATCGACAAGCAGGGAAGCGGGGGGATGGGGAGTTAAGTGATTTGCCCATGAACGCTTAGTGGTAAACGGCAACCCGTGGCTTTGAACCCAGGCCCGGCCCATCCCACTGTGGTTTTCCCACTTCTCCTTGCAGGCATTCTCCCAGCCATGGTTGGCTGTAGCTGTGATGAAGGATCGATCAATTTCTTTCCTCCCCTAATAGTGGAGACCAAAGAGCATCGATCATAGCAACCAGGCTATCCAGTCCCATTTGCTGAGCACCCACTACGCGCCAGGCCCTGGCTGGGCACTGCGAGAGAATCAGACCTTCGTCCTTGGAGGGGACGAGGGCAGCTAATAAGATCTGTCCCTGCTGAGTGCAGCAGGAAGTCAGGATTGCAGCTGTGCGGGGTGGGGGTGGGGGGTTGGGGGCAGGATTTAAGCAGGGGAAGGGCAGCAGCTGGACATTCCAGGAGGAAAGTCCTGAATCTGAAAGCCTCTTTGGGGAGAAGGCCAGGGCCCAGCTCCCTTGTCTCTCTGTCTGCCTGTCAGTCCCCAAGGTGAGGTGAGCTCTGGGCCCCCAACTTGTACCCCAATAGACTCCTGTTTATGGAGGAAAAAATCTAGGAGCCAGATTAAGTTGGAAGCTCGTTCAACATTAGACCAGAGAGGTTCAACGACTTGTTCAAAGTCACACAGCAAATTGAGGACAGAGCCAGGATGGAATTCAGGCCCTGGAATTCCAGTCCCAAGCGTGTTCTAGTTTGTCCCCTTGTCTGCATCCTGAGAGGAAGGGGATGGAGTGGGGGAGACTGGAGGGCAGGGGAGATTCCAGCAGCTCTTACAGATGAGAGGGCGTGGACTGTGGTGCCCAGGCATTAGGTTCCAGAGGGATGGCCAAGGGGACTTCCAGAGAAAAGGAATATTAGCAAATCCTCAATAGGAGGTGACAATTTACTATTTTTCAGGCACTGTTCTAAGCCCCCAACATAGATTAACTTATTTATTGCCTCACAGCCCAGAAGATAGGGTTTCTGTTGCTCTCATTTTGTAGAAAAAAACTGGGGTTCAGAGAGGTTAAGTGACAGGTCCAAGGCCTCATAGCAAGTGGCAGAGCAAGTGGCCTAAACCCAGAGGTATCCGAGTCCAGAGCCAGAGCTCTCAGCCACTGCCTCCCAAACGCCACATTGACCAAGTCCTGGGGCCCCATTTCACAGATGTGAAGATCAAGGCCAGTGGGATGGGACTGCTCCCAGGTCTGGCCAACCGCTGATGCCAGCTCCATGTCCCTGTTGTCTGGCCCCTCTAGCTGCTCCAGGAGATCAGGAAGGTCAACTTCACCCTCCTGGACCACCATATCTTCTTCGACGACCAAGGGGACCTGCCCATGCCCCTGGAGGTCATTCAGTGGCATTGGAACCGGAGCCAGAACCCATTCCAGACCATCGCCTCCTACCACCCCGAGCAGCGGCAGCTGAAGGACGTCCGCGGAGTCTCCTGGCACACCCCCGATGGCATGGTCAGCTCTCAGGGGCCTGGGCAGGGCCTATGCCGGAATGGCCAGGGCCCTTTTTATCAAGGAGGACACCCGAGATTCATGTCCCGTAGCTCGTGGGGGTCTCTATTTGTGGGTGTCCTCTTTGGGGTCCTGTTCTTACACCAGTGATTGAGAACTGGAAGTTCAGGGCTTTCTGGCTCCTTGGGACCCTGGGGATCAGGACCTCTGCAAAGTAAATATTCACTGGACACGTGTGTGCTAAGGACTTCAATTCTCACGTCAAACCTAGGAAATAGATGCAACCATTCTCCTATCTTATTAGGAAACCGAAGGCACAGAGAGGTTGCATGACCTGCCTAAGGCCACACAGCATGTCTGTGGTGAAGGTTCCCTCAGTACAGCATTCAGGCTACATCCTGTCAGTTAGTACTTGGGTTTTGGTACAGTAGCTATGCCTTTAAATGTGTCCGACAGCTGTCAACCTAAAGCTTCATTTTAAATCCTCCTCAGATAATATGCTGTCAGAATTCTGCTGGTGTGGGGAGGGGTAGAAACCCAGCCTTGTGGCGGAGGGGATCGAGGGACCTCAAAGCTACTGGAAAACCCCATTATGCTCCTCCTGCCTCACACTCTATCCCCGGTTCCAGAGCTGCTGGTCCAGGCTCCTTGGGGATTTTTATGGAGTAAATTGGTTTGGTGTCTTTGTTTGCTAAGGCTGGCGTAACACACCACCACAGACTGGGGGGCTTAGAGGACAGAAATGTAGCCCTGGCCAGGTGGCTCAGTTGGTTGGAGCATCATCCCATTCACCAAAAGGTTGGCTGTTCGATTCCTGATCAGGGCACATACTCAGGTTGTGGGTTCCATCCCCGGTGGAGGCGTGTACAGGGGTCAACTGATTGATGTTTCTCTCTCACTCTGTCTCTCAAATCAATAAAAACATATCTTTGGGTGAGGATTAAAAAATAATGAAGAGAACAGAAATGTATTGTCTCACAGTCCTGGAGGCTGGAGGTCCAAGATCTAGGTGTTGGTAGGGTTAGTTCCTTCTGAGGGCTGGAAGGGAGCATCCATTTCCCGCCTCTCTCCTGGCTCCTGGCGCCTTTCCGTGGCTTCTGCAGCATCACCCTGACCTCTGCCTTCTTTGCTTGTGCTCTCCCTGTGGGTATATCTGTCTCCATGCCTCTCCCTTTTGTAAGGACATTCATCAGCTTAGAGCAGGGCCCACCCACTCCAGTATGACTTCCTCTAAGCTAGTCACACCAATAAATCAACAAACAACAAGTGTTGGTGAGGATGTGGAGGAAAGGGAACCCTGGTGCCCTCCTGCTAGGATTGCAAATTGGTGCAGCTGCTAGGGAAAGCAGTATGAGGGTCCTCAGAAAGTTAAAGACAGAACTACCTTATGACCCAGAAATTCCACTTATGGGTATTTATCCGAAGAAATCCAAAGCACTCGTTCAGAAAGATACATGCATCCCGATGCTCCTTGCAGCATGATTTACAACTGGAGGCCCGGTGCATGATCAAGGCCTGGCTGGCGATCAGGGCCAATCTGTGGGGGGACTGGCAGGGCAATTGGGGGGCCCCCACTGTCATCTGACTTGGCTGGCCTGGTGCCACTCGCTCACAGGCCCCGCCCCCCGCTGCCACCGCCAGTTGCCTCCTTCTGCGGGGTGACTGGCAGGGCAATTGGGGGCCCCCCCCCTGCTGGCACTCGCCTTGGCTGGCCTGGGGCCTGCAGGCTGGGGGCAGCTCTTGCATTGAGTGTCTGCCCCTTGGTGGTCAGTGCACGTCATAGCAACTGGTTGTTCCACCGGTTGTTCCACAGTTCGGTCAATTTGCATATTAGGCTTTTATTATATAGGATAGCTGAGCTATGGGAGCAACCTAACTTCCCATCAATAGATGGCTGGATAAAGATGTGGTATATCTAGGCGATGTTCTGGTTGGTGAACATGAGCATTTGTAGCTATGAATTTCCCCTTAGCCTTGCTTTGCTGTGTTTGCAGTTTCATTTATCTCTAAGTATTTTCTAATTCCCCCTACGATTTCTCATTTGATCCATAGGTTGTTTAAGAGCATTGTTTAACGTCTAAAAATGTGTGAATTTTCCTGTCTTCCTTCTGTGTTGCATTTCTAACTTCATTTATAACTTGTGTGCTATCTTTAAAAGTCTGTCGAGACTTAATCTGTGGTCAAACGCATGGTCTGTTCTGGAAAATGACCTTTGTGAACTTGAGCAGGATGTATTCTGTTGTTGAGCAGAGTGTCCTGTATATGTCTGTTAGATCTACTTAGGTCATTGTGTTGTTCAAGTCCTCTATTTCCTTACTTATTTTCTGTTTGATTGTTCTACCTGCCATCAAGACGGGGTATTGAAGTCTTTAAGTACTATTGTGGATTATGATATTTAAATCATCTATTTCCTCCTTTGATTTTGATGGTTTTTGCATCATGTATTTTGGGGCTCTCGTTAGATGTATATATGTTTATAATTATTATATTTTTTAAAAAATATATTTTTTATTGATTTCAGAGAGGAAGAGAGAGGGAGAGAGAGAGATAGAAACATCAATGATGAGAGAGAATCATTGATAGGCTGCCTCCTGCACACCCCCTACTGGGGATTGAGCCTGCAAACCAGGCATGTGCCCTTGGCCAGAATCGAACCTGGGACCCTTCAGTCTGCAGGCCGACGCTCTATCCACTGAGCCAAACTGGCCAGGGCTATTATATCTTCTTAATAGATTGACCCTATTATCATTATAAAATGTCCTTCTTTTTCTCTAGTAACCATTTTGTTGGTATTTTCTCACCCTCTGACTTTTTTTCCTTTGAGATTTTTGTCTTTGTTTTTTTTGTGTGCTTTGAATATGATATACCTAGGTGCAGATTTTTTGGGTACTCATCCTGCTGGGTGTTCTCAGCTTCCTGGACCTGTCATTAATTTTAGAGAATTCTCAGCCAATATTCCTTCAAATATTTCCTCTGTTCCTTGCTGTCTTTCTTCTCCTTTGGGTATTCCCATGATGTGTATGTTGTATCTTTTGTCATAGTTCATAGTTCTTGGATATTCTGTTCCCCATCCCCCCCCCCCCACACACACTCTTTTTTTCTCTTTACTTTTCAGTTGAGGAGGTTTTTACTGAAATATCTTCAAGCTCACTGGTCCTTTCCTTGGCTATAAGCCTACTGGTGAGCTCATCAGAGGCATTCTTCACTTCTGTTACCACGCTGTTGGTTTTAAAATCCTAGCATCTCCTTTTGATTCTTCTTAAGTTTCCACTTCTCTGCTTCCATTACCCATCTGTCCTTGTGTGTTGCCCACTTTTCCAATCGCAGTCTTAGCCTATTCATCATAGTTAGTTCACATTCCTGGTCTGATAATTCCCAAGTCTTGGACATCCCTGAGCCCCATCCTGGTGCTTGTTTCTCTCTTCAGACCGTGATCTGTTTCTGTCTTGTAGCATGCCTTGCCATGTTTCTGTTGAAGGCCAGGCATGACGTGTTGGTTAAAAGGAACTGAGGTAAAGAAATCTTTAGCAGGAGATTCCATGTTTATCTGGGTAGGAGTTAGGCTTTATTTACTATTGGCTGTCACTGTGGTGTCAGAAGTTACAGGGACTATGGGGGGCGGGATCCAGAGGGGACAGAAGACAGGGGACCTCTGAGGGGCCCAGAGTTGAGTGGTTCTGCTGTGGCCACCCCCGCCCCCTTGTCTGGGCCCTTGGCCCTTCTGTGCACTCTCGGAACATTGATCAGAATGATTTTTATACAACCCGAATCTAATGCAGCCCTTTCCACACTCAAGAACCATGGCTGCCCCCACCTCCCCTCCATTGTTAGTATCCCAGGGACGAGCCTCAGAAGGCTTTCCCCCCTTCCCACCCTCTGCCTGTGCATCTCGATCCCAGCCAGGCCCAGATATGCCTTCTTCCCACACAGGTCATTCCACGCCCCTCCCCTACCCCACTGCTCTCACTGTTCCCCTACTTGTAATTCCTTCCCTTAGTAAGCAATCGTTAGAGGCCTCCTCTGTGCCAGGTATCCTTCTAGGTTCTAGAAATACGGCAGCAAAAACAATAGACATGGTCACTGCCTGCCTGTTCTTGTTCACCTGCCCCTCCCTGCAGGCAGGGGTTCTCAGACTCTTCGTTGTAAGTGACCAAAAGTGATGTAACAAAACATTAATTTATTGCCTCGCATCACTGAAACCTCTAGGGGTAGAAGTGAGGCTTTGGGCACGGATGGATCCAGGGTCTCACTCTCCAGCTCTCAGGTTCTCCCTGGGCGTGTTCTCTGCCCTGGAGACAAGGTGGCTGCCAGCAGCCCCAGAGTCACATCCTGTCCTCTCAGCAGCCTCCGAGCGTCTGTCTCCACAGTTGGGTGGGTGCAGTGAGGTCTTGGGCAGGCAAGGGTCCCTACAAAGGTCCAGTTCTAATGGCGACCCCAGCACCCCTTCCCCTCCCTGCAGACAGGGGCCAGGCTTCCCGCCCCTGAGCATCCTGCTGTGGGGGAGGGTGGGGTGTCCCTCGGAGGGAGGGGAAGAGGGCTCAGTGTCTCATGCCCTCCTCCCTCCAGGTCCCCGTGTCCACGTGTTCCAAGGACTGCCAACCTGGGCAAAAGAAGAAGTCTGTGGGCATCCACCCCTGCTGCTTTGAGTGTCTTGACTGCCCCCCTGGCACCTTCCTCAACAAAACTGAAGGTACAGCTTGCAGGCTGGCACCCCTGCCCTGCCCTTGTCCTGCCCCAGGGGTCTCCGGGCCCCTCCCCACTTGGCTGGTCTCCCCGAGGCAATGTAAGTGTCCCATGCCAGGGGCCATATTTGACTCCACTCGTATCTCCCCATCTCCAGTGCAGGTGGTTTAGGGAGAAGGGACAGCACCCAACCAGGTGGGGCTGAAACTGATCTGGATCCACACACACACACAGTCCACGGCCCAGGGATGTCAGGCCAGGGAGCGTCCACCGGGTGATGGATGGATGGATGGATGGATGGATGGATGGGTGGGTGGCTCTGCCAACAGAAGAAACATTTCTGGAAGCCAGGGACAGTACAGTAGGTCCTTGGGTTACGTCGGAGATCCGTTCCTACGGTGTGACGTAATGCGATTTTTGCCGTAAGTCGGAACCCACCTACATAAGCACCTACGTCACTCACATGGAGCACATACACAGCAGTAATGAAGTGAAACAGTAAAAAAAATTTAAAAGAAAGATAACAATTTCTGACCTTTACTCGTAAATAAATAACGAAAACTATAAAGAACATATGTACATACGTATAAATGACGGAAATTTTTTATTTTATAAATAAATGGGAGATGGCGATGTAACCACGAAACGATGTACGTCGAGTCCGACGTAACCCGAGGACTGTCTGTATATGAGTTATCTCTGGCCTCCTAAGTGCCTAGTGTATGTCAGAGCACACAATGGTTGCTCAGTGAATAGTTCTTGGATGATTTTTTTGATTAGAAGAATGAACTGACATCTCTCCCTATAGATCATAAACTCCAGGAAGGTGGGGGGCAATGTCACCTTTCTGTCCATGTTAGTGTTTAGCACAATTCGGAGCTGGGCCTCAAATTATTTTTTTCATGGCTTCACTGATTAGTAAATTAAATGGGTGCATCTGTCTGCCAATCGGAGCACTTACTGTGTGCTCAGCGGAGCGCAGGGCAGAGTAGCTGCCCAACAAGTGTGTCCAGTGATTTCACTGGCCTTTCTCTCCCAACTTGCGGAGAGCCCGATGGCAGGGGGCGGGGCTTAGCCATCTCTGTGGCCTCGGGGGCCTATCACAGTGGGTGGTGCTCAAAAACATATTTGCTGAATGAATTCTGAATAAATAGTTGAATATCTCTCCCACCGGAGAATGAGGTCCTGGGAGGAAGGAATTATAGTTGTTCAGCTCCGAGTCAAGGCCACTGCGGTCCAGATCCTGCCTCTGTAAAGTACTGGCTTTGTGAGCTTCCCTGGCTGAGCCTCAGTTTCCTTTATCTGTGAAATGGGTTTGCTGTGAGCATTTGATGAGCCAGTGGATAGAAGGAACTCAGTGAGTGTTGGCTATGACCACAGGGGTCGTCCTTCGCTCCCTCTCTCCATCCCCGGAGCCTGGCCCCGTGCAGGCCCCGAGGATGGAGGTACTGGGAGGGTGGGCTCGGCTGACGGGAATTGCCGGGGGCCTCTTGTATAGATGAGTTTGACTGCCAACCCTGCCCAAGCAACGAGTGGTCCCACGGGAGAGACACCTCCTGCTTCAAGCGGCGCCTGACCTTCCTCCAGTGGCACAACTCGCTCACCATCTTTGTGGTCCTGCTGGCGGCCCTGGGCTTCCTCGGCACCCTGGCCATCCTGGCCATATTCTGGAGGCACCTCCAGACGCCCATGGTCCGTTCGGCTGGGGGCCCCATGTGCTTCCTGATACTGGCATCGCTGCTGGTGGCGTACCTGATGGTCCCCGCGTACGTGGGGCCGCCCACGCCCGCCACGTGCCTCTGCCGCCAGACCTTCTTCACCCTCTGCTTCACCATCTGCAACTCCTGCATCGCCGTGCGCTCCTTCCAGATCGTCTACGTCTTCAAGATGGCCCGCCGCCTCCCGCGCGCCTATGGCTACTGGGTTCGCTACCACGGGCCCTACGTCTTTGTGGCGGCCATCACGGCGCTCAAGGTGGCCATGGTGACAACCAATCAGGTGATCACTGCCACCGGCCCCACCGCCCGCGCCGACCCCGGGGACCCCAAGATCATGATCCTCTCCTGCAACCCCGACTACAGCAAGGGGCTGCTGGTCAACACCAGCCTGGACCTGCTGCTCTCCGTGGTGGGCTTCAGCTTCGCCTACATGGGCAAGGAGCTGCCCACCAACTACAACGAGGCCAAGTTCATCACCTTCTGCATGACCTTCTACTTCACCTCCTCCATCTCCCTCTGCACCTTCATGTCTGTCTACGAGGGGGTGCTGGTCACCTTCCTGGACCTCTTGGTCACTGTGCTCAACCTCCTGGGCATTAGCCTGGGCTACTTCGGCCCCAAGTGCTACCTGATCCTCTTCCACCCGGAGCGCAACACGCCGGCCTACTTCAGCAACGCCATCCAGGGCTACACCATGGGCAGGGACTAGCGCCGCCCATGGGGCCGGAGGGCCTGGGCGCTGGGAGGTGCAGGTCGGGGCCTTGCCTGTTCATGCAATCCCTCACTGTGACCACCTCGTCCTGGTCTCTGATTGGCGTCCCCTCCAGGTTCTCTGCCCACCTAGTCATGGGCACCTAAACATACTCACGCTTGGTTCCCTTCCCTCAAGCTGCTTAGCTTGCCAGGCACTGCCACCCCCTGGAAAAATGACCCAAGGTGACCTACTGCTGGTCTCCTAGGACCGGTCTGATTTGGCAGCCTACAGGCGCCATCTGGTGGTCACAGCGGGCATCTGCGAATTCCGGCTCATTCCCTTGGCCTGTGCTCATGGTGGGGATGGGCTTGGTGTGGGAGGGTGTGGGAGGATGTGAGAGGATGTGAGAGGATGTGAGCTCACGTAATGTCGCCCAGGCATCTAGCTCCCCAGGTGTCTGTGTCTCATCTCCCAGACCCCCCCAGAGCTTGGACCCAGGCTTCTGTGTTGTGTCTGAATAATGGCTGGCACAGTGGGCTCTTTAAACCTGCTTCAAGCGGCGCCTGACCTTCCTCCAGTGGCACAACTCGCTCACCATCTTTGTGGTCCTGCTGGCGGCCCTGGGCTTCCTCGGCACCCTGGCCATCCTGGCCATATTCTGGAGGCACCTCCAGACGCCCATGGTCCGTTCGGCTGGGGGCCCCATGTGCTTCCTGATACTGACATCGCTGCTGGTGGCGTACCTGATGGTCCCCGCGTACGTGGGGCCGCCCACGCCCGCCACGTGCCTCTGCCGCCAGACCTTCTTCACCCTCTGCTTCACCATCTGCAACTCCTGCATCGCCGTGCGCTCCTTCCAGATCGTCTACGTCTTCAAGATGGCCCGCCGCCTCCCGCGCGCCTATGGCTACTGGGTTCGCTACCACGGGCCCTACGTCTTTGTGGCGGCCATCACGGCGCTCAAGGTGGCCATGGTGACAACCAATCAGGTGATCACTGCCACCGGCCCCACCGCCCGCGCCGACCCCGGGGACCCCAAGATCATGATCCTCTCCTGCAACCCCGACTACAGCAAGGGGCTGCTGGTCAACACCAGCCTGGACCTGCTGCTCTCCGTGGTGGGCTTCAGCTTCGCCTACATGGGCAAGGAGCTGCCCACCAACTACAACGAGGCCAAGTTCATCACCTTCTGCATGACCTTCTACTTCACCTCCTCCATCTCCCTCTGCACCTTCATGTCTGTCTACGAGGGGGTGCTGGTCACCTTCCTGGACCTCTTGGTCACTGTGCTCAACCTCCTGGGCATTAGCCTGGGCTACTTCGGCCCCAAGTGCTACCTGATCCTCTTCCACCCGGAGCGCAACACGCCGGCCTACTTCAGCAGCGCCATCCAGGGCTACACCATGGGCAGGGACTAGCGCCGCCCATGGGGCCGGAGGGCCTGGGCGCTGGGAGGTGCAGGTCGGGGCCTTGCCTGTTCATGCGATCCCTCACTGTGACCACCTGGTTCTGGTCTCTGATTGGCGTCCCCTCCAGGTTCTCTGCCCACCTAGTCATGGGCACCTAAACATACTCACGCTTGGTTCCCTTCCCTCAAGCTGCTTAGCTTGCCAGGCACTGCCACCCCCTGGAAAAATGACCCAAGGTGACCTACTGCTGGTCTCCTAGGACCGGTCTGATTTGGCAGCCTACAGGCGCCATCTGGTGGTCACAGCGGGCATCTGCGAATTCCAGCTCATTCCCTTGGCCTGTGCTCATGGCGGGATGGGCTTGGTGTGGAGGGTGTGAGCTCACGTAATGTTGCCCGGGCATCACGCTCCCCACGTGTCTGTGTCTCATCTCCCAGATTCCCCCAGAGCTTGGACCCAGGCTTCTGTGTTGTGTCTGAATAATGGCTGGCACAGTGGGCGCTTCCTAAATGCTCGAGAATAAACCTCACGTGGGCAAAACGAGTGAGTTTCCTTCTTGTTTCCGGGGGCCCCTGAGAAAGAACATGTGGAAGCAGAGAGCCCTCCCCGTCTCTAAGACGGGAGCAGTAGCTCTTCAGCAGAGATGATGTGTGTAAGGTGCACATGGCACCCTCAGTAAAGGCCAGCCATCGCAAATCCCCATGGCCCCGGAACCATCAGGGACAAAATACAGTCGTGTTTCCTTTTTACATCCAAACGACCGTGGCATGTGCTCTGGCCCAGGGTCCTAACCCACCCCAGCGAATTCTGGGTGTTGTCCTCCGGGTATCTGGGCCCCCTGTGTGCCCCAGAGCCGGCGTGTGCCAGGGCACTGCGGAACTTGCAGACGCTGCCCTGCTGGGCGTGGCCGCACCCTTGATGACCACCTCCCACGGTGGGCTCCAGCGGCAGGAGGGACCCTGACTTTCTAGTCTGGGGGTCAGACCTGGCCTCTCATAGCTCATCAGGAAGCCAGAATTTGAGCGCAGAGGCCGCCAAACTGCGTCCCAGAGGGGTTCAGGATCCAGCTCAGGTGCACCCAGCTCACCGGGGGGGAGAGCAGCTGCTGGAACCGCACCCGACTCAGGCAGAAGCACGGTGCCCTGGAAAATGCGTTACCGCGTGACCTTGTGGCCTCAGAGCTCCCGGCACCAATCCTGCGGCAGCCACTCCCGCAGCTCCTTTGCAGCTGGGCGGGCAGGGCCGGCTCCTTGTCCTGGATTGTCCTGTCACACCTCAAGGTGGTGGGTGGCGGGCCCTTGGCTGGAATCGTCTGGGATTTGGGGGAATAGCCTTCCATGTTGGGGCCACTTCCGCATGACAGCAAGGACAGTCTTTCTCTTCTTTGAGCCTCTTTCCAGAGCCTGGCACAGCGTTGTGACCATGGCTGGAGCGGCTAAGTCACGTGTCGGATTCTGTCGCCTTCGCCCATCGCATCGTTAATTCCGCTCATCTCCCACGGCCTCGGTGCTGGATGCTGAGAAATATTCAGAAACACAAAACACGTATTTGTGCCTCCAACCCATGAGGACAACAGCTAACATTTAGCACTCTCCCTACAAAGGTTGCTACTATATCCTCTTATTCCTCACAAAACTCTGTTCATTAGGCACTGTTAGGATCCTTAGCCTACAGATGGGGAATGAAGGTGTGGGTGGGGGACCCACAGTCATCACTCAGTCTCCCCACCAAGGCCCTGGGGTGCTGGGGGCCTCGGATTTCAGGGGGGTGGCTGGTGCAGGCAGTGAGCAGAGGAGACAGCGGGGAAGCTGGCATCTGGGAAGAGCCTTGAAGGACAGAGAAGCATTTGGAAGGCTGGGAGTTAGAGTGACGGGGGGCGGGGAGGGGGCAGGGACAGCAGGAGCGAAGGTGGGGTGCAAGGAGGCCAGGGTAGCTCCGGGGGAGCACGTGGCTCAGGGTGGCCAGGTTGTCAGAGCCGAGGTTGGAACCGTAGCTGGGGCAACCCTGATGTGGCGTCTGGACCTTGTCGCCCCTGGTGGCACTGCCAGCTACTGTGCACAGGCCGGGCTTGCCCCTCTCTGGGGTCACCCTGACATGCAGGCAGTCCCTCTCTGCTGCAACCAGCCTCCTCTCTGGCGGGTCCTCTTCCCACAGTCCTGGGCGTGGGCCTGGCCTGGTGGGTGGGAAGCTGTGCAGAGAAGACCCCAAGGATGCTCTGGCCAGGTGCACTCCCTTCCCTGTTCCCTCCACCTGCCTCCCGGGGGGCCCAGAGGTGCAGCTGAGACCCGCCTGGCCCTGAGCTCCGGGGGCTGCTCTGCTCCTTCTGTTCCTGGGTGAGCCTGTGTCCCGTCGCCGCCCTCGGGACCAGATTGTCAGAGGATCAGCGAGTTTTAAGCTCTTAATTCTCTTTTCTTGCGGGCTTCTGATGCCTTGGTTTAAAATTTTTAAGCAATAATGACCTCATTTTCCTGGTTGTGCTCACAGACCGCCGTCAGAGTGAGGATCTTGAATCCCACGGCCTCAGAGGCGTCTGCACACGCCTCCTAGAGGCGCCCTAGCTGAGGTCTTCATCCTTTCTTGTTCCCCTGCAGTGATGGGAGGCTCACTGAGGACAGCGCCAGTTATTAGAAAACGAGAGGCCCGGTGCATGAAATTTGTGCACAGGGAGAGGGAGCGGGTGCCCTCAGTCTGTCCTGCACCCTCTCCAATCCAGGACCCCTCAGGGAATGTCTGACTGCCTGTTTGTGCCCGCACTTTTAACAGATGACAGCTCCATTGTTGTTTCTTTTCATGCTTAAACCCATTGGAATTAATAGATATTCAAAGTGTGCATACATTTTGGGGGGACACCCTGTATATCTCTAGTCAGTGGTGAAAGGAACCAACAGCAGATTTGGAACCCCCAGACAGGGAACCTCGCTCACTTCCCGCATGTCTCCCCACTCCACTTTCCACCTTCGAGGGCAGCGGAAGAATCAATGTTTTCTCTCATTAACTCGAAAAAGCACATCCTGTCACCCGCTGCCCGGCAGGAGTGCGCTAGGCCCCAAGCGAGCGAGGCTCAGTCAGGGCAGCCTTCGCTCATGGGTGCCGGCACCCAAAGTGCACATTCCTCCTCTGCAGTCACCCCGACTATCACACAGTTTCATTGAGAGGACGGAACTCCTCGCCTCCTCTGGGTTCTTGATCTTGAACACTGACCGAAGGCACCTCAGCGAGGGCGGAACAGGGCATCACCACTCCGCCCTCTCACTGTCATCTCACAGGCGCCCACCCCCAGCACCCAGAACACCCAGACACTCTCCAAAAAACATAAGCGTGCCAGAGGGACGTGCGCACATCCTGTGGGGGGTGTAGACATGCTGGGGTTGATGGAAGTGCGGCAGAGGGGTGGGGTGGGGGTGGGGGACTTGCACGCACCATGGTCCGGGACTGTTGCAGGTGCACGTGGGTGACAGGGCTCTGGGGGACGTTCACATGCCAGGGGGGGAGGAGAGGATGCACGCACCAGAGGCCTGCAGCTTCGCAGATCCGCAAACCCCCATGTCGTGGCCAGGAGGATGTCAATCTGGCCCACCACGGTGGCTGTCCCTGCAATCGCGCACCTTCTGGGCCAGGAGGCAGGACTTGCACAGCCACTCCTCGGTGCTGATGGCTTGCAGGTGCTACTTCAGCTTGGCCTGCAGGCTCCACTTGGCGTGCTCACGGCTGCCACCGCCGCCATGTGGGGAGTACAGGCTGCCCTCCTCCAGCCCGCCTCCCCCGTCCAGAGGCTCTCCGCGCGTGCTGCCCACTGGCCCGGAGTGGCCTGGGCTGGGCGGGACGCCTGCCTTCGTTGCCTTGGTGACAAAGCCAAGCGTCCCACCCCACCCCTGGCCACTGGCCACCTGCGCATGTGCGCGCTGCCCACAGATCTTTGGTGGGTTAATTTGCATACTCACTCCTGATTGGCTGTGGGTGTTGCGGAGGGATGGTCAATTGACATATTTGTCTATTATTAGTATAGACTAGAGGCCCAGTGCACAAAAATTTGTGCACTCGGGGGCGGGGGGAGGGGGTTCCCCCAGCCCGGCCTGTGCCCTCTCGCAGTCTGGGACCCCTCGGGAGATAACGACCTGCTGGC